TGAAGTCATCTTCACTTCATCATCCCATACAAGAAGCATCCGTCTCTCAACGAGTTATCCTGATGTCGTGTCTGCACTTTTGAGCATCCAGACACAGGTACTAGCAGGATCCAGCCGAAATTTGTCGAAAGTCTTCGAGAATTGTGAGTGGCGTCACAGTGACCCCACGCTACAGCGTCCCATGCTACAGTGTCCCACGCTGTTTCTCAAGTCACGTGTTCAGCATCACTTGTATGTTGCTGTTGTTGTTCAGCTCAGCACAGCTGTTTCAGCAAGCCAGAGGTGAGTTTTGTGGTGATTTCTGCGTCCAGTGTGAGCTTCTCCACATGTTTGTGGGTGGAGGAGGAGGAATGGCTAGATGCTCGCCCTGCCATACACTCACCCACGCTCCTCGCCACCACACTACCATACACTCACCACTGCCCACTCCCTCTGCTGTGTTTTCTGCTGTTTTTCGTGTGAATTCTTTGCCAGTGCTGTGTACCCGAGTGCCCAAGGCCACTCGAAGCTACGTGGACCAGCATGCCACGTAGATCATGACGCACGTAGATCACGACGTCACGTGGGTGTGGGCGATGTCACGTGAATCTACCAGCCACGTGAGTTACCAGATGTCCCAAGGCCACATGCTGTGGTCTGCTGCCCGCATCACACTGACGTCACCCACGATGCTCCCCGACTTCATGACGTCACGATGTCTGCCTGACGTCACCTCGAGATGTCTGCTGACGTCACCTCGAGATGTCTGCTGACGTCACCTCACGATGTCTGCCTGACGTCACCTCGAGATGTCTGCTGACGTCACCTCGAGATGTCTGCAGACGTCACCTCGAGATGTCTGCTGACGTCACCTCGAGATGTCTGCTGACATCACCTCGAGATGTCTGCTGACGTCACCTCGAGATGTCTGCTGACGTCACCTCGAGATGTCTGCTGACGTCACCTCAGATGTCGCTGACTCACTCCGATTCTGCCTGACGTCACCTCGAGATGTCTGCTGACGTCACCTCGAGATGTCTGCTAACGTCACAGTGCTGCTGACGTCACCTCGCGACATCACGCCTGACATCACATGATGTCACCATCGAGTGTTCTAGTAATTATTTTAGTATTGTCGAGAAGATTGAGAGAAAATATATGTCGTGTGTTAATTAATTCCTCTTAGTCAGTGTTCTCACATTTTAGTATATGTCTTAGTGTCAGTTTTGTGCACAGAAAAGCATCATTTGCTAGTTAAGCCATGTTGTACCGTATGTACAGCGGTGTGTTTTTAAAGTTTCCGTGTGTCCAGTGAGGTCTGAGCCAGACCTGAGTGGCACCACTGTGCTAAGTCACCCGTGTGACCAGTGTGTTTGACAGCTGATTACTCAGCCCTGAGCGTACGAGCCCTCTTGTACAGAAAGCTTTTATGCTCGTTGCTCGTGATGTTCTGCAGAATCGTACCTGCTACGATTCCCATCGAGATTTGTTTCACTTCACCTCCAGACCTTCAGAGTGCAGTTATATGTAGAGAAACAAGTCTGGGGACGCTTAGGCTAACCTCTGCTATAACTCCAACTGTCGAGAGAATGACACGCTGTGTCAGCCTCGTGTCACAAGCTTCAGTGAGCAGCCTGCACAAAGATGATGTCACTTTGACTGCTAGCTCGCTCACTGCAGTCTGGTGTATGATGTTACGACTCCCAGATGTTTCGCCCAGTCGTCTCTGCCACGACTCGCTCCACAACTCGCTCCACTCTCGCCGGCAGTGACAGCCCAGCGACAGTACCAGTCGAGAAGTGTCCTCCTGAGTCGCTTGCCAGAAGTCCGCCCAGTTGCCGAGTTTTGTCGACGCCTCCACTCGAGGGCACCAGCATGTCGTGCCCCAGGTTGAGTGAAAACCTGCAGCGACTCCTACGATGTCTGCCTCACCGTTCCAGAGGAGACCGTAACATGTTACGTCACAGCTCAGCCGCAGCGATGTCTCCTGTGTTGCAGTATATGTCCAGACGCAGGAAGGCGTGCAGTGATGCCCTTCGACACTCACTGCCTATGACCACGATGTTTAGCACACCCCACATGTTTTTTTCTTCCCTCCCTGTAGGAAGTTTTTTTTCCATGTCCATATGTATATAATGTTTTTATTTTGTGTTCTGTCCCTGTTCTACGAGGAGAGACCAGAGTTTCTTTTACTACCAGTATTGTCGCGTGGACGATGCCGTAAGGTGGCCGACTGTTATGCAGACAGCCTGTACAGTCTGACGACAGCATGCTGTCTGCAAGCTTAGTTCAATATTTCGCGCCACTCAAGTGCTCCACCTATAGGCCTCTTGCACTTACCGTATGCACAACTTTTGCTCCCTCTAACTGACACTAGGGCTAGCAAAGACCAGTACTCCCACTCTGTCAGTGGGATGGTCCTTGCCCGGGACATGGCACAACACACAAGGCCTGTTACCCACAACGACTTACAATAAGTAAGAACCTCCGAAGACGTAATCATTAACACGCACCAGAATACCAAAAATTGTCGTTAATAGGCAGCAGAAAGGCCTCATTCATGAAACAGAAGACATTACTGAGGATTTGGTTGCAGACCGGATACAAAAAAAGAAGCGATGAGCCTTTTAAGTATTTTCAAGGCAAGGCACACAGTATCTTTTGAGCTTTGAAGTCATGTAAGTAGAGAATTTTACAAAAGCATTTACGCAAGCCATGGACATTTCAAAGGCTTAGTCGTAGAATCAACTTGCATAATAGAGTATCAGTGGTAGAGGCAGCAAGCACAGAGACAGAAGCGCGTAAAGCATTGTTTTTGACCATTCGATAAATCACGAAGAAAGGTGGATTTACCGTCCATGAACGATCTTTAATGTGAATTGAAAACGGACATTTCTTGGAAGAAATGCCAAAATGTCTACATATACAAAAACACAAAAATCCCAGTTTATGGTTTTTAAGGACTGGGTCACGTTGTTGTTGGGAGGAAATGTTGCTGGGTTGAATAAATAATGTAGAAGCATGATAAAGATGCCCAAATTAATAAAAACTGACATTATATGGAGAGGTATTGGAGAGTGGGTGGAGCTATACGAGAAGGAGAAGGTATGAGAGTCTCAGTAATTCATGGCATATCATGGCATGTGGAGATGTGTCTCACAGCAATACAAAATACTGTATACATAATTATACTATTATTATCAATAAAGGTTATCTATCATATTTATTCCAGAATAATATTAGATATAACAAATAATGTAGAAGCATGATAAAGAGGCCCAAATTAATAAATCTGACATTATATGGAGAGGTATTGAAGGGTGGGCAGCAGGGGAGGGAAAAAAAGTGACCGTGACCATTACAGAAAACGTTATTCGTTATGAGCCTGAAAGGGTCGCTATAGAAGATCATTCTTATCTTATTCAAAGACTGAAAAAAGTGTGATTTTTTCAAAAAAAAAAAAAAAAAAAAAAAAATTCCCAAGTAATCAGCATGCATGCATTTCCTGGAATATCTCGAAAGTAAGTTATTGACCTATTTCACGTTGTATTACCATTAATAATAAATGGATTGCTTTTATTTTGGGTGGTGACATTTTTGAAGTGTCAGTAAAAGGCGATTCCTTGATTAGCGACAAATTCATTACCAACATGGTCTTAGGAATGGAACTCCGTCAGTAAGTGAGAAGAGGCTGTATTTATTATCATTTACTTAGAGTTTACTAATATTCTGAAGAACAAATTACTTTAAAATTCTGAAGAACAATCATGTTATTGATTAACAGAAAAAAAATTACAGTCTTTAGAATTCAAAATATTATTTTCCTAATACAGTGGTACCCCGAGTTTCGAACTGCTCCCAACTCGACCAATTATGTAAGTGTATTATTGTAAGTGCTTTTGTAAGTGTATTTTTTGGGGTCTGAAGTGGACTAATCTCATTTACATTATTCCTTATAGGAAGAAATTCACTCGGTAACGGCACTCGAACAGCCTTCTGGAACGAAGAAAGTTCGAAACTCGGGGTACCACTGTACAGTATCGAAATAGGGAAGATACTAATGACTAGATATGAGCAAAATTAGTTAATTTGTAGAAGGGCATAATAAGAGGTTTAGAATTTAGCTTACGAACAGCTCTAGAGAAAGTTTACAGTGGAATAGTATTTGAAATTCTGGGAAGGAGTATGAGAACCCTTGAGGAATCATGTTAATAATCCAAGTGATCCTACCCTCATGACCTTCCCACACCTTGTAAAGTGATCTCACCTTTGTTACAAGGCTAAATTAGAGGAATGGTTTAATCCCTCTCTGCTTGTGATAATCACAGATTGTACAAGTGATGTCACGTAGGAAATGTCAATATGGATCCTTCCTCTTTTCTTGCTGGGTGACATCACATTCAAACTGGCGTAAGCTTTTTTGGGTTACCTGAAGGAAAAGCCTGACTGTGAGAGTAGCGCTTCTGTCTCCAGACTTCAGAATGGAGGATCAAGCCTCAACCACTCCTTGTGTTCCAGGGTTTAGCACTCCATACAATAATAATATAATAATAATAATAATTATTATAATAATAATAATCAGAAGATTTTCTCACCCCCTTCCTCAAACTAACAAGTTTTCTTATGGATATTTATACCGAAAGTAATTTGATGATAATCACATGAAATGAACTCTTTACTAGTATGCATTTTTTTTTACTGAACCCTCATTTGTAGTGAAAAACCATCTATTGGATATTTACACACAGAGTGAATTCCTCAACCAGATGGCAAATCACACTTTCATCCAGAATTAGCAGAACGTCTCATGCAGTCACTGGGAGAAGAAAAATCTAAGCAAGCTGCACATATAAGGAGAAAGAAGCAGCTAACCTTGGAAGAGACTGTTTCCAGGGGCATTAACTGTATAGCAGGTAAATAAGTTACAGCAAAATATAGTGCATGATAGTAAAATATCCTAAACTACCACAGATAAAAATTAAATAAAACAAATGAATTTTACTATAAAAAAATAACACCACCTAAATTTTTGTCTTTTCCTTTTCCCATCTTCAAGTCTGTTGATCAGCAAATGACTCAATGGCCCCCAGCTGACGGCGAGCAATGGCCACACCAGCTATTATTGTGTATGTCCACGAGATGATCACTAATGCCAGTAACACCTGGAATGGTTTGTGAAGTGTAAATAAATCTGATTGCTTCTGCATAACAAATAAAATACTGACACCTGACCAGGGCTACTAAACAGTCCTGGATATTAAGATGAAGGTGTAGAGAAAGCTTTTATTTTGACAATGTTTTGCTCCGTGTAGAGCTTTAAACTTGATAAAGCTCTACATAAATTTAAACACTGCCATAAAAAAATACTTTCTCTGCATTTGTCTTTTCTTCATTACTGTCAGCAACGCGCCTTATTATGCAATCCTAGGGACATCTATTCCATTAAATATCTCCGGGTTCAAAGTTAACTGAAATCATATTACAGGTATTGGTAAAAGTCCACTTTCCAGCACATGGGGCTACCAGCCTTTTTGGTGGAAAGTTATATTACATAACAAAAGAATTTATTGGGTAAATTAACTTATGCTGATTTTACAGTATGTACTATTTATATTCTCATTCTTGAATGAAGTAAGAGTCACTTTACCCATTGAGTTTTCATTTACCCCTAGCGCTGAGTGTGATCCAAAAAGTCATAAAAAGAAATGCTCGAGTTTATGTTAAAATGAAAAGCATTTTATTTTAAAAGAAGCTTTTCACTTTTATTTTAAAATTATTTCTCCTGATAGTGAAAATGGTAAGGATTATCAGCAAGCATAAAAGCAAATAGCAACAATTACAGTCAACCCTTCAAATTCATTGATTTTGATTATTCAGTGGTTTCCTGTAAATAATTTCAACTAGTACGTACTAGCAAATGAAAGATTGACCCTCCATCACTTGCTGCAATGAATGACCCACACTGGTGTAACCTTCATATATATATGTTAATAATGTAGATTATTACTAGATGCTTAATGAATCAGCAGCCATATGCCAAACAGTTTGCTCAAGACTACTGCCGGGGCATTTGGGTAGCAATCAGTTTATAGGTCAGGCTAGGTAACAAAGGATATAAAACATATTTAACCATAAATATGCTAAATGAAAAGAAACAGTTGAGACACATCTGGTAGAGTAATTAAATAGTTGGTAATGTTTAGGCAACCTGCTGCTCATCAACAGCCTACTACATGTGCCTCTACTTTCTTAATCAGCCTCCTGTGTGGAACGTTATCTAAAGTGTTACTGAAGTCTATATACACCATAGCCCAGTAGAAATACAATAAAATAATGAATATTTAAAAATTAACCACTCTTAACCTGTCTAGATTTAAGTAGTCTTTAAGTATTAGGATTAGTCTGCCTGAAATGCCCCGGCATGATAGTGACTTTCTTTTTACCTAACAAATTATAAAATGTGATCACACAGTGTAACCTTGCAAAGAAATCAATTTTCTTTGTCTTTGTCTTTATCTTGGTCTATTGCCTCGAATAACTTAGTGAAAAACTTTAATACATCCTTTCCAGTTATATCAGTAATTATTGCTTTCATCAGCTTTCCCATAAATGAGGTTCGGCTGATTGGTTTATTATTTGAACTGGCAAATCTGGTGGGCAGTTATTGTTATTATAATAAAAAAGAAGCGCTAAGCTACAAGGGCTATACAGCGCTGCTCTGGTGGGCAGTGTCCATAATGGCAACCCAATGTTGCATAATTATCTCTTTTACATATCTGATGGTATCTGACACCTTGTTTGTAAGAAATACATCATGTTTCTAACTATCTAGTTGCATTTGTGCTTTCCTTCACTCTTGAAGGGAATCATGTATACTAGCACAGCTTCATTTTCAGCTAACGCATCATATTAAAGCACAAAACTTACAATATTTATAATAAGAGTTGATGTCTTCGTTGTGTATAAGACTCCAAAAATCATGAAGACTAATTTTTTATACGTAATTACTTATTTTTCTAGAAGAAATCTTGGGGGCAAAGTCAGTTGCTGTTGTTGTTGGGTTTTGAGGGCCACCGAAGCTTACATTTGTTTGGCTCTTCTCAGTTTCTGGGGAAGACAAAGCTGACAGGAAATTGGGAATTCAAATTCAAATTCAAAGTTTATTCTCTATAAAGATTACAATGTTGAATTTACAGAATTTGGTTGTTGTGTGGTTTACATGTAGTTAAATAATGATTACAGAGTGTACCACTAGAACGCCTAGCATGGCTAGGCATTTCGGGCAGACTTTAGTTAGTTAGTTTAATATGTTTATTATGCACCCCATACCCATCCTGTGGGCGGTAGTCAAAAGATTACAGAGGTACATAATTGGTCCAGGGACTGGACTCCAAAGTTTTGATAGCTGAGCAAGTTACAGAGGTAATGAACTCACAATTTACAAAGGTAATGAACTCACAATTTACAAAGGTAATGAACTCACAATTTACAAAGGTAATGAACTCCAGGTAAGTCTGGTCACAATCATGACAAGTTACAAAGGTATTTACAGATTACAGAGGTACGTAATGGGTCCAGGGACTGGGCCCCCAAAGTTTTGATAGCTGAACTAGGTACAAAGGTAATGAGCTCACAAGTTACAAAGGTAATGAATTCTGTAGAATGGTTACTTACGTTTATACATGGCTACAATCATGAACAAATTATAGAGTAATGAGCAATTCACACTTCCACACCCGGTCACAACTGTAATGAGTTATTGGTGCAAATATTGATTGTTGAGTCACACACACCACACACACACACACACACACACACACACACACACACACACACACACACACACACACACACACACACACACACACACACACACACACACACACACACACACACACACACTTTAGTTTAATAACTTTATTATGCACCCCATACCCATCCTGTGGGCGGTAGTCAAAAGATTACAAAGGTACATAATGGGTCCAGTGACTGGACCCCAAAGTTATGATAGCTGAACTAGTTACAAAGGTAATGAACTCAGTTTAATTCTTTATTTTAAAATATTACAAATTATGAGGTAAGTTGGTATTATGGCTAAGTGACTAAATACTAGTTTGTGAGTTTAGCAATGTGAATGCTTTTGTTTTGGCACAGTACATAGTTTCAGTATTGGAGTATCACAGGATTCATTATTTTAAGATTGAGATTAATATTTCTGTTTATGGTCAAATGGGTGAGTGAGTGTAAGTGTGAACCACCAGGTGGTATTCGTGTAGTTAGTTGATGGGGTGTATCAGGGAGATAAGATGTTTTCTAATGGTAGTTTTGAAGGTGATGAATGTGTCTACAGTTCTAGAGTTCTCAGGTAGGGTGTTCCAGATTTTAGGGCCTTTGACATACATTGAATTTTTGTAAAGGTTTAGTCGGACACGGGGAATGTCGTAGAGATGTTTGTGTCTGGTGTTATGCCTGTGGGGTTTTGTCACAACTATCAAGAAAGCGTTTTAGGTCAAGCTTGATATTGGAGTTTAAGGTCCTGTAGATGTAGATTGCACAGTAGTAAGTGTGGATGTACTGAACAGGGAGTAAGTTTAGATCTATGAAGAGTGGGGGGGGGGTGTTGCCAGGGATGGGATTTAGTGATTATTCTTACTGCAGCTTTTTGTTGGGTTATTATTGGCTTTAGGTGTGTTGCTGCAGTTGATCCCCAAGCACAAATAGCATAGGTGAGGTATGGATAATAAGTGAGTGGTATAGTGTGAGAAGGGCATTTTGCGGCACGTAGTATCGTATCTTGGAGAGGATCCCAACCGTTTTCGATACTTTTTTGGTTATGTGTTGGATATGGGTGCTGAAATTCAGGTTGTTGTCAAGGTATAGGCTGGGAATTTGCCCTCATTATGTCTGGTAATTAGAGTTTTTGTCGATCTTAATGTTAATTTGTGCATCTCCTTGCTCTGCTACCAACATAATATAGTAGGTTTTGTCAGTGTTAAGCGTAAGTTTATTGGCTGTCATCCAAGTCGATATTTTGATCAGCTCCTCGTTAACAATGGTGTTGAGGGTGGCAAGATTAGGGTGAGAGATGACATAAGTCGTGTCGTCAGCAAAGAGAATGGGTTTCAGGTATTGGGATACGTCTGGAAGATCATTGATGTATATGAGGAAGAGCAGGGGACCAAGGACACTTCCCTGCGAACTCCAGTATCAAGTGGCCGTGTTGTTGATGTTGTGTCTTTAATGGTGACATGGTGACATACTGATACCTATTAGTAAGGTAAGATTTGAAATAAGCAAGCGCATGGCCTCTTATACCGTAATGGTCAAGTTTGTGGAGTAGGATGTCGTGGTTTACTGTGTCAAAAGCTTTTCTTAGGTCAATAAAAATTCCTAGTGGATATTCCTTATTTTCCAATGCTGTGTAAAGCAGATCTAGCATTTTTATGATTGCATCATTAGTGCTTTTATTTTTCCTGAATCCAAATTGGCAGGGGTTGAGTATGTTTTGTGCTGTTATAAATGAATATAGTCTCCTGTGCACGAGTTTCTCAAAGATTTTGGATAGCAATGGTAAGTTTGATATTGGCCTATATGTAGTTGTTTAAGTCTGTAGGGTCACCACCTTTATGTATTGGTGTAACCCTTGCCATCTTGAGTGGTTTCGGGAAGGTGCTAGTTTCTAGTGACTTGTTAAAAAGTAATGAAATAGCATGCGAAAGAATATGGGCCGCTCGCTTGTACAGTAATGGTGGGACATTAGACAGATTCCCTGAGTTGTTTTTAAGTGACTTTATAATCTCGGTGACTTCCGAGGGCTCAGTTGGTGCAAGATAGAAGGAATTTGGGAAATTTCCATCTAGGTAGTCCCCGGCATGGGCATTGGTATGTGGGATTTTATTGGCGAGATTAGATCCTATGGTTGAGAAGAAGTCGTTTATCTTGTTAGCTGTGTCAGTGGGATGTAGTGGTGTTTCATTAGGTTTAGTTAGGACAATATTCTTGTTTTTTTTCAGTTTGTGGGTCCCTAGAATCTGAGAGAGTGTTTTCCAGGTCTTTTTTATATCTCCTCTTGTGTCTGTGAATTTACTGGAGATGTATAGTTGTTTGGCTTTCTTTATTACTTTGGTGAGAACTGATGAACAGTGTTTAAGAATATCTTTGTGTATTAAGCCCTGTCTATATTGCTTTTCATATTGGTGTTTCTTGTCAATGGATTTCAGAATGGTGCTTGTTAGCCATGGGCAACCAAGCCGTTTGTTTGTGATCTGTTTCGTTTTTATAGGACAATGTTTGTTGTATAGTCTAAGTAATTTGTTAAGAAAAATGTCTGTCCAGTCATCAATACCATTGGCCTTGGAGAATTCTGTAGGCCAGTCAACAATCTCTAGGTCAGCTGTGAACTTCCTTATTGAGGCCTCGTCATGGAGTCTAAATGAGACTTTGTTGTATTCAAGTGGTGGTTTACTAATGTTTGTCAGGAGGAAGGTAGGGTAGTGGTCTGTAGTGCTATCTGTGATTATCCCTGATTTAAGGGGGGCTAGTATATTGGTCCATATGTGGTCTATTATGGTTGCACTTGTCTCAGTGAGCCTGGTTGGTTTAGTTATTGTTAGTGGTTGTTCATATTGTTGATGAAATCAGTTACAGGCTGATCATCTAGTAAGCCAAGGTTGATGTTGAAGTCTCCAGCTAAGAGAAGGTGGTGCTTATTCATTTGTCTGTTTGTTATTAGTGACTTTCATTTCTCACTGAAATTTGGGATGTTTGTGTGAGGTATCCGGTAAATGGCACCGATTGTTATAGGTGTCTTAAGGTTTTTTACAGTAAAATTAGCAAAAATGTATTCCCCATATTCATCACTAAAGCAAGTGGTGCTAATACAAGATAATTGGTTAGAGTAATAGATTGCAATACCACCCCCAACTTGGTTTGGTCTGCAGTTGTGAATTGCTGTGTATCCTGGTAGAGGGTAGTAGATATCTATTGTGTCCTGCTTAAGCCAGGTCTCAGTAAGAATAATGCAGGAGAAGAGTGTCTTTAGTGATTCAAGGAGTGCCAGGAGGTCATCATAGTGTTTGCTTAAGGACCTGATGTTGTAGTTAAGTACTGATAGACTTTTAGCATTGTTTAGGATAGTGGTGGCTTGTGATGCTGTGTAATAAAGGCAGTTACTTTCCAATAGGTTTTGATTGGGTGTCAGATTATGGAGGTTTAGATCAGGGTCAACGTGATCAATCATCTTCTAGGTTTAAATTATGGTTATTTATATCCTGAGTTGTGTGTTGAGTTCTAGTACTGAAGAAAAAGAATTTCGTTCGAGAAAAGAATCGAGAACATAAAGTTTTCAACCATTCACAGGCTGAGCATTGAGTGCGCAATCCACGCAAAATACCGACAGTTTAGTTTAATATGTTTATTATGCACCCCATACCCATCCTGTGGGTGGCAGTCAAGAGATTACATGGGTACATAATGGGTCCAGGGACTGGACACCAAAGTTATGAGAGCTGAACTAGTTACAAAGGTAATGAACTCCAGGTAGATCTGGTCACAATCATGGCAAGTTACAGAGGTAATGAATCAGCTTCACTCCTATACATGGTTACAATCATGAACAAGTTACAAAGTAATGAGCCACTGACACGTCCACACCTGGTCACAATCGTAATGAGTTATAAATACAAATATTAAGTGGGTCATACACCCACACAAGCGCGCGCGCGCGCACACATACACACACGAGGGCGCAGGCACAGACATGCACACGAGCGTACAAATATGTGCATACACACAAGTACGCACGCCCCCCCCCCCCCACACACAGTACTGCTTTACTTACAGCCAGCAAAGTCAGGGTATTTTTCCAGAATGGTCTGTAATATATCACTGTGGATAAAATACTTTGCCATTTCTTGAACATTTCTGAGTGAGTTGTCTTTAAATTCATTGATTTTATCGCACTCCAGTACATAATGACGCAAGGTGTGACAATAGTCCATCTGGCAAAGTTTACATTTCGTTTGGTCTACATCTGGTGGTGGTGATTAAACCTGCCAAAGATACTTGTAACCCAGCCGGAGCCGGGCAGTAGTGA